TGGTATCAGAGAGGACAATCGTTTTAGTGGGCCCGAAAGTAAGTGCAGAGCAACCCCACCAGCCCTCCTTCATCTTGAGTCAGCTCGAGAAACAGGGTAACCATCTATCGAGATCTCCACGTCAGAGGCATCTTGTGTGAGCCAGGTCTATGTAAGAGCGATTATAGACGGTTGTTCAAGGCAAGCTGACTGTTTAATATCACAGAATTCGTTGAAAAGGTTGAGGCAAACATTTCTACACTGTCTCTGCTGCCTCCGAAAGTAAGGAGCCAGGGAGGTCAGCAGACGTAAAGGTTGTGCGTCGGGCTTGAGTCCAAGGCTCCAAAGGGGCCTCTAGAGCAATGTCCTCCGCTTCCTGTCTTCGTGGTTTCTGGGGATGATTTCCGCTTGCGAGGTTTTTTATTTCCGTGAGAGCCCGGTTTGCTCGGGCCTTTTAGCTTTGGAGACGAAGTTCTTTCCCCCGTGGGACGGAGTTTTTCCTCTGTGGACGGATTTTTTCCCCGTAGACGGAGATTTTTCTCCCAGGATGAGGAAGCGCAGAGGATTGCACAGCAAGAGGTGACAAATGTTAAATACGCGGCCGCAAGCAACTGGATATGGATATAGTTAGAAGATATCTGGATCTTGCCAAACACGTGAAAAGCTCTGTTATATGAGTTCGTGTTGCATCTTCGGAGGACTCTGCATAAATCTGATATTTGAATGATGGGGAAACGATGGGTGCGTGGCGACGGATTAGAAATTTCCACGAATCCAAATGAGATTGCGGGATATAGTTTAGAAAATATCGTCGCATTATGCGCGAGCTATGTACGTTTTGAAAACTTACTTCGGGCTCAATATTACTTAACATTACCAACCAAGACCATGCAAAGTAAAACGATATTCACGACTCTTCTCTACTTCCTCTAGCCTTGTTATGGCTATCCACTTTAGTTCCTTTAATAAGAAGTCCAAGGAAGTTGGCGTTACTCTGGGTATCTAAAAATAAGCTTCACCGTGTATCAGAGAAATTTTGCGCTCAGCATACTGTTGAACATGAGAGTTTTCAACCACTTTCATCTTAAATGATCGCTTATGTGCCGTTGGTGACTGTAAGCACAGCTGACTTTGTCTTGTGGTGAAACGCATCAAGGATATAATGATGCGTATTAATTATGAAGGACCGTTGTATGACGTTGGGCAAGACTATTAAGTATAATTGGAGCCTGCGTGCAGATGTACGCGCCCAACAGTCGCGATAACTAGCCAAGATGATCGAAACGCGACTGTGTATGGGTATAAAGGACAACGTTGGTCGCTAGAGTAGACTGTAGCGCATAGTTGAGATCTCAAACAGCAGCCCGCATAGTTGCATGTGTGGCAGCTATTGTAAGTAGCAAAGATAAGTGAGAACGCGTGCAGATTTGTGTAACAAGGAGCGTAGTTGGTTATTGGACTAGGATATCATGATTAGCCCATAACGAACGTCACACATAAACACAGGCTTGCCGGCTACGTGAAGGACAACTGTACGCGTTTTCATACACTCTCGGATACTAGTCGTGACCGCAAGGCCTATGTCTATGTGTGACACTGATTGAGGATTCAGCTGTGTGCGATGGTCTAATCCAACGACCAACAATAGCCCTTCCTCACCATGACCAATTGTGGTGTAGCTTGGCCTAGTTTCACGGATTCACAGATTGCTATCCGTGACGGAAACTCGGGGATGGCGCCCACCTGATGAGCTTCAAGAGGGGCGAAATCGGTCGTGAGCTGTCGAAGAATTTGCAGCAAACTTGCATTACGAATATATTTGTATCGCGATATCCGCAATAACTTGGTGACTGTAAAGTGGGGCGCCTTTTTCAGTCAAATTCACTGGCCCGGAATGATCACAAACGGGGGGTTTAGCTGCGTTTCTGGTAAGCCTTTCGCAAAACAAAACTTGCAAATGAGTGTACTTCGCTAGTGGTTAAAATCGTTTTATGGCTAGGTCACCATGATTTATGAGGCAATCCAGAATAGTGGCGCTATGGTCTCCAGTAAACAACATACCTCACAGAAATTTGGTTATTCACATGCAGCCGTGCGAAAACGCTGCATCATTTCCAGATTGGTTGCAAATATCAGAGAAGGAGAATCATTCACACCAGCGCACACTCCCATCTTCACTGCGCGATGCGTCCACTTATCCTAAGATATCATGCGCAACGCAAGGTAGGCTTCGCAAAATAGCGTCCTGTGCCAAAGTTTTGTGAACGAATTTATTAACTTTGTTAAGTCTGACGAGTGTAAGGCATGCAAACTTCATTTGTCTATCCGTCTTGGTGGAGATTCCGTAGATATTATCTCCTATTTGGAGAATGCCTGAATCATTGAAATAGGTTGAGGCTTGATTTCGGGCTTGGCCCGGTAAACTGGTAATCACGTGGAAATCACGACGTTCAGTGACCTTGCAAATTTGCTTAATTAAACAAATGACTATGAGTGACATACCAATGAAGCATGTTACCTGACCAGGAAACATACTCTAAAATTGGAAACTTTGAAAACCCCATAGTTTCTGCTAATTCAGTTTCCTTTTTATTTTTAGTGGGTGACGTGAACAAAGTGCCTAGGATTATTTAACATTGTGAAGTTCGATCACGCACGCCAAAGTGCTCTTTGCCACTTACCTTACTACCTTCAGCCTTTTTATGGCCACTTATGTTACTTTCTTCAATAGAGTTCGAAGATTCTCTGGATACCTAAAAATTAACTTCACCACATGCCAGAGAAAACATGCGCTCAGGAAACTGTTGAAAATAAGAAGCACTCCTACTTATATTTCACTACATAGGGAATACGCATTGACTTTCGCAATTCCACCGAACTCGTCAAACTCAATCTTGCCAGGTCGCAACACGAAATGCCAGCAACCTAATTGCTCTTCTTCGAGGAGGTCATTCGTCATCCCTTATACCAGTCCAACCCGTTCCGCGCTTTGAGGCAAAACAAGGTTGATCAAAGGAGCCTTAACAACAAGATGATTCGTCAGTCACTTGACGGAAGAAACAGCGGCCGCCTATCGCATGGAAGCTACGGGAATCACTAGAGTACCCTGCAAGGTGAATGAACGCATTCTGAATTGAGCCACGATGAAGCATCGTAATACCGTGGACATAATATTCACAGTTCCACAAGGACAAATCCAAAGACCGTCATGCATGAAGAGCGTGCACCTAAGCATTAACAAACATACCGAAGACAACAACGAAAGCCTCAAAAAGGATGCAACGTATTATTATTTTTCAAAAGCAGTCGATTGAGTCCCACATGCTCAACAACCCCGGTTCAATGGAAAATTCTGCACTGCATTAAGGCGTTCCTATCAGACAGAACGCTCCGAGTGAAAGTAGGCTCGACTCACTCGTCTCCAGTGCCGATCTCCATTAGAGTCCCTCAAGGCTCCGTTTTGGAGCCACTGCTGATTCCGATATGAAAAAGTTGTCCCCACTAGCAATTCATTTACACCTGGTGTTTTACCAGTCGCTTGACGAAGGCCGCCTTCCCTATGCTTGGATGGAGCGATTGTCACGCCAATCTACAAAACTGATGACCGAATATCGTCCGGCGGCTACAGGTCTATAAGCCTTATTAGCTTGCCGTGCAAGGTGGTGGGAAGCATTCTCAAGCGAGCTATCTTAGATTGGCCTACTTCCAGCAACTTGATAACTTCAGCTCAACACGGATCTCTCACAAACCGCTTTTGCGTGACAAACTTGCTCATGTTTATGGACAGCTTAACCTGAGTCAAGGACGAAGGACTCATATCGAATGCCGTATTTTTGATTTCTCAAAAGCATTTGATAGGGTCCCACACGTCCCGCTGCTCCGCAAACTCGAGTATTACGGGATCTCTGGGGAGATCGTTCACTGTATCATGATTTCCTATCAGACAGATCATCCGATTGAGAATAGGATCGATCGGTCTACATTTGAGTTCCTCAAGGCTCCGTCTTGGGACCACTCCTGTTTCTGATCTACGTCAACGCTCCTCAGATGTTCTTGAAAAGTCCATGTCTACTTTTTGCGGACGACTTGAAATCCTGCAGTTCCAATACCGGTGCCCTCCTGTGTGGAATAACCTTCCTCCAACGGTTGTCCAAGCCCCATCTAGTAACCAGTTCAAAGCGCTATTAAAGGCTCTTTTATGCGAGTCCCCACGCTGGCATGCTTAATGCCCCGCTCTGAGAACTTAAGGAGCGTTGCTACACCTTTTTTCGCCTGCGCCTTTTAGGTGAATGGCGGTTGCTGAACGACAAGAACAAGACCAGCCCAGGAAACTTGGGCGAAAGCCTTGATCCTGTGTATCAACCCGTGAACCCGTAAACACCGTAGCCACCGGGACCCATTTCATCGGAATCGCGAGACAGCCGGATTATAAATGGCGAGATATCTGGTTCATTCCCGCGAGGTCTGAGGTACTAAATTGTTTCCAAGTCAGAAAATACCTCGATCGTAAGAACATTCGGGAGACAGTCAGCTGCTGAAGTTCGGTAAGGACGAATAATACTCCACAGTCTCTCCCCTAAGACATAGGGGAGATAGGGCATTTGCCCGGAGGTGAGCCGCTCAAAACAACCGAGCAGCACACCCGTTGTGTGGAGGCATCCCGAAGCAGCTGCGGCGAGGACAAGGGCATGTCCTGATTGGTCAGAATCTGAGCCAATCAGGGTATAGCATTTTAGCCTGGCCCTTTCGCACCACCCCGGAGATTTTCGCGTGACCATGCGGAAAATTCCGTTACAACTTTATCAACACAATTGTAGAAAAGTTTCTTATCTATTAAAGGTAACTTCGAGCATGCCTGAATTATCGCTGCTGAAACATCTGCCACCCAAAATAAGACATTACGATGCTGATCTGATAAACGGAGTATCCGAACTCTTCCTCTTTGAGGCAGACACAACAAGTCTACGTTGAAAAATAACCTTTCAGCTGCAAAATTCCTTTGTCCCTAGCTGCCATGTCACCCTGAGGAAGCACAAGGGCTGATATTCAACCGGGTTGCCCAAGGCTAGACAGAAGTCGAGATAGAGATGTTGGGTTATAATCACAAACCTTCCTTTCGGTAAATTCGCGCTCTATCCAGTAAGCGATCTCCCAAAATATCGAACTCGTTCGTTGGTGCTCAAGGCCAACCTATGTACGCCGTTGTTCTAATATGCAACTATTAAGTCTCTAGGACAACAAATATGACGGGCTTTAGGTCGTTCAAAGATTACTTCGCGTATCGTTCTCAGACTGTTCTACGAGTTTTGTGTTTAGCATTGGTCTACTCAGACGCCCACTATGACGCCACCGACGGACTCATACCCTGGCTGTCTGGGATGATGGCCGGTTCGTCCCGGTATCCATCGCTATTGGTCGTTCCAATCATCGGACGTTGTTACGTTATATCGTGCTGTAACACCCTCCCGGTGCTTAGCTGCCATGCCACCCGAAGGAAGCACAAGGGCTGAGATTCTACCAGGTTGCCCAAGCCTAGACAGGAGAAGTCGAGATGCAAAGGTTGCGTTCGAACCGCGGATCTTCCGGTCAGTAAATTCGCACTCCAGCCACTAAGCTATCTCGGCCCGATTCCCTGAAAACCTCGCCCCGATTACTTGTAGCTCTTCCGTACAATGCCTTGTTGTCCTCCTGAGTTGTGAATTCATCGTAACTGCGGACAAGGAGGAATGGCCAATCCTATCTCAACTGGTTCGCCATCTGGCTTTTTGTCACATGACCACCAGATTTTTCTATGACCAATGTTGCAGGCTTAGTGCAACAGTGACCCGCTAATTTGGGAAACACCGGGACAATCCAGGTGTCTGCTTACCTATCCAGCGGTGATAATGACCACCTTATTGTGGCCGCCACCTTAAGTCCACCTTTTGTGACCTCATTTTTAATGCCGCATCTTCTACCTTGTACGCACGTGATTGCTCAGTTTTCTCAGAGGTTTAATTCATTAGCCTTATGCTTGGGGGCTATTAGTGACCAATGAATGGCTGCTGTCCATTGTCGATATTTTATTTCTCTAAGCCGCCTTTCATTTCCGGTTGTTTGTCTACCTGCGTCAGCGTTGTATGTACTTGCATATGGTGCTCGGTTTCACTTAAATCGTTGTAGCCTCGCCTCCGCTGCCTGTTCGCTCTCTCCTCCCTTTCGATCCCGATTCTCTAGAATAAACTAGTTGCTGTTGCCCTCAAAACGGCTTTGTTCTTACAGGTGCTTTTAGGCATCGTTGGTAGATACTATCCACGAACATACGGTCTTAATGTCGACACAATTATCACCCAGGGACGTTTTTCCCACAGTTGTGCTCAGGCACGGTGCCATTATTAAACGGAAGTGTTGTAATAATCTAGAAACGATCAGTATGTCAGCAAAATGAACGGTGATCGAGGGGAAACAAGACAGAAGGGACTCAGTCACGTTTGCAAGTGTTTATTTCATTGGACTTCTGACCCCTTCTATCAACTCGAATGCAAATCCGCGCCGCGCTGGATGATCAAGTTTTTCCTCTGGAAGAGGCAAGCCCTCGTGACATCTGTATCCGGTGCCGTGTGCATCAACCCAAATTGCGACTGTTTATCGATCTTATTGTCCATTTATGCGGTACTTAACAAGGTGCGGGTTCTATTCAGACCTCATTCTTCTGTTTTTGTTGTAGTCTTCAGCGTGCGGACTCTTAAGTAGAGCGGCCAACAGGCTGCTCTCACACGCTCTCTGGGCGCTCTATCGATTAACCTATGTTGTATTAATGAAACATGCTGAGTGTATGGCACCCACTGTGCAGCACCTAACGACCAAGAACTTCGGGTGATCCTGCAACGGGCTGCGCCGGTGTTGGTATAACTCTCATCTCGCTCAGTTACTCTACTGGACAACTGTAAACAGCCGACTCTGTGGTCCATTTCAATAAAACACTTGTCAAACTGCCGAACGCCCTTTGTCGTGTCCACTTATGCACCAACGGGCTGCAACTTTGATTCGTTGCAAGAGGCCTACTGATCGTCTTCCTTTTCATCACAAAGAGCTCGAATATAGCCACATTAACAGATTTCAGTGTACTGGTAGGAAGTCTCAGTTCGTCAGAAGCACACATTGGTGTTGAGTTTAGTCTGGGTTCAAAACGCAGGAACGATAGCAAACGCGCTTTTCAACTTTGTACTGGCCACCAAGTATTTCTCAGTACCATTAGGTTCAGACGCAGTGGGCACCATTGTGCTACCTGGTGTCTCCCCGCTGCTCAGAAGCCTTGGAGTCAAATTGGCTACATTGGCATCATTTAGAGGCGCCGCGGTCCAATTCTTAACCGCCGATCCTTTTGGAATACTCATGTTGGTTTAGAGCACGGCCTCGTTCATTGACCGCTACTACGGCTACACGTTGACGTAATGAACCACTTGTGGTGCTTCTGAGTATGTACACAAAAGGCACCGGATCTCAAAACGGCCACTAGCACCCCTTGATGAGAAGCACTCTACCTCTTCGGGCTCAGATTGCAACTCGACCTGACGTGCTCCAACCAGAAAGTTTGAGTGGAAGAGCCCAGTCCGGTTGGGAATGCTCGGAAGCTGCCCTAACTAATCAACAGAACAGAGCCTGAAATGATTCCCATTAGTTAAAGATAACTTTTGGAATCCAATACAGCGCGAATTTACTGAACGGAAGGTCCGTGATTCGAACCCGACCTCAGCCTCTCAACTTTGCCTGTCTGGACTTGGGCAACATGGCAGTGTACCGGCCCTCGTGCTTCCTTCTAGTGGCATAGCAGTTAGGCACCGAAATAGTGCTACAGCTGAACGATTTTGTTAAGTGTCTAGGTCACAGGGCGGAATATTTTAAACAATTCATTTAGTCCTCTGCCTCCTGTACTTTTGTTTTTCACTC